AAGGGGGCAACGGTCCAGGCCGGGTCAGCCCATTAGTCCCGATTCAGTCCAGAACCGGGACCAATGGGGGCATTGGACCCGGTTCGTGAGCCCAGGGGGCCGGCCAGGCCACGTTGGCCAACCGATTGAACCCCTCCGGACAAAGAGCGCATTTGTTGCTCAATGCGGGGTTTTGGTTAGGGACAAGATCCCGATCAGCATCCAGCAATGGTTATAGCCGGCTACAGAAGACCCTGAGGTGTCTTATGTCAATGATATGCAGAAAAATGATCTTTGGACTGAGCTGAAGTCAAATTTCACCCTACCGCCAGAGGATGATCCGGAGAAGCCAGTTAAAAAGCAATTAATCAAGTTTTTTGCTCTTAAGAGGATGGTAGAACTATTCAGGAGGTGGAAGAAAGAGCTGAATAAGTTTGTCGAAAATAAAGAGACACCAGAATTTAAGGGCAGATATGAGAAGATCAGAGATCACTGGCCCGCATTTGTGGCCCACAAGACATCGGAAAAGAGTAAGAAAATGTCGGCGACAAACAAGCAAAATGCTGCGAAGAAGAAGCATCACCATCGCACGGGGTCAGGTGGCTACCTCGCAGCCCGGCCTAAGTGGGCCAAGATTGAGAATGATCTGGTTGATAAAGGGATCAAATCAGAGACAATTAACTGGCCAGACCGTTGCCGGACTTGGTTCTTCGGGGCTGGTGGAACCTTGGACCCTGTATCAGGGAAGTGCATTTGGACGGACGAGCAAATGGAAATACCAGTCAAGAGGCTTAAGCACTATATCGAAGTAGCGCGGCAAGGGACGTTCGTTCCAGACAGAGAGAACGACGGGCTCACAATGGCCCTCGGGAATCCTGAGCATCCTGGATGGACACGAGGCACGCCAGGCTCCATTCCGTGGAAGGCTGGGTTTCCGGACGCAGGCGGTTACAAATGCCACGAGAGGAGGAAGAAAGTGGAGCAGACCCAACTGCAGGCGCTGCACGCTAGGGTACAAGCGATAGAGGAACGAGAAGCAAATCGCAGCAAACGAACTGCCGAAACTTCCCCCGAAGCTACCCCGCCATCTTAGCGGAGAAGCAGCGTGGCTTCCACCGAGCTGCTTCAGCCGGAGCATGTCTTGACGGCTCCTGCCAGCTATCCCGTGGATGCTATCACGGAATTTCAAAATTGCCACCTTATAACGCAATGGATTAATATGAAGGTCAAGGCGGCTGTTGGCTCTGTTTTTCCTACTCAACCCGGCGCAACTTTTCACTGCCGGCCGATTTCAGAAGGATATGCTAGGGTGATGGTGGATGAAATAACAGAGGGATTTGAGGACCTCCAGCTTGACCACCCTACCGGTGAAGGGGAGACTCGGCTGGGTTCTGCTCTGAAGACTCCATGCCTATGGCGGAAGGAGCTCATCAACCTTTCGAACTGGACGCCTCCCCTCCTCCTCCTCCGCGAGTCAGGGCACTCCGCCTCCTCCACCGCCTCCTCCTCCAGCGAGTGACGATCAGGGCACTCGGCCGGCTCCTTCTCCGGCGCATGGCGGCACTCCATCTCCTTCTCCGCTTGCATCGGTGCGCCCGAGCAGCCAGCCTCCTCCTTCTCCGCCTCGTCAGCAAGGGAGGAAGAGACCTGCCGCCGCTCCGGCTGCTCCGGCGCGTCGTAGTCCTTCTCCTCCGCCTCGTAAGCAAGTAAATAAGACAACCGCTCCGTCTGCTCTGCCGGCGTCTAGCAGTACAGCCAGAGGCGGGAGGACATACATATTCGGTCCTTCTCTGAAGACTCCAGAGAAGTTACCATACGAGAGGACCCCGGAGGAGAACGCCGAGATCGCGCGAGAAGAAGTGAGGAACTTCTTTGAAGGGGTGAAAGAAAAGAAACATCCACCTCCGGAGGAGAATGTAGATCCGGTGAAAGCGAAGCGCACTCTGGCTGCCCTGACAAAACCACCCAAGTCTCCGCCGAAAGGAAACTATGAGCGCATTATTGGAAAGGAATTTGCCGAAGCGGAGCGGTCGGGAAGTACTGTCAGTGATCAAAGGCTGAAAGAACGACGAGCTGGGAAACAAATTGCCCAGCTCGGCGAACAAGCGAAGCAATTGTGCCCCCCGCTCAAGGTGCCTAGCGACATCATCGCTAATGATCCAAGGATGGTGCCCGGTTATAGAAATCTTGGAGATTACCTGCCCGACGATGTACATTATGATTTCATGAAGGTGCAGATACAAAGATACGAGTACGGGAAGCCTCTCGTCAAAGATGAAGATCTCTATCAACGATGATGCGAAGATTGCATGATTGATACTTGAAAATCTGCAGAGAGTCTGGGGGGAGGAGTACTTTGTATGTGAGAGTTAAAAAGGAGTATGACCTCGTTGGAATTGATCTGTTGCCTGTTCCATTTGAGGAGTTCTTTCAGTTTTCAATCAATTGGCCCTCGATAAAGCAATGATCACCTGCTACTGTCTGTAAGTAGTACTACTTCTGTCATTAAGTCTCTCTATATAGCTCAGCTCTTTCATTGCATGTATTTATAATTATCCTTACTATATTATGCAGATTGAAGATCGTCGAATTGAAGAAAAGACAAATCGGTGATATTGGGTTCATTAACACAAATATCATAGATGCAACTCAGGTTAAATTTCATGACGCAGATACCGAGGCTAACTTGCTACGATCGTTGGTAATAAATGAAAACAAAGATATAATACTCTTTCCTTACAACTTTAAGTGAGTGTTACTTTCTTGTGCGTATTCGGTTTCCCTTATATATTAGTCAAGGTTATAGTAATGTAATTGATGAGTTATGCATGCGTGTGCAGTTTCTACTATATTCTTCTAGAGATTAAGCTTGAGCAGGGACTAGTAACCGTCTTAGACTCAAGACGAAAAGATCCCCAGAACTATGCGGACATGACTCAAATGCTCGAGAAGTAAGTTAAATCGATCATTATCCACTATATCAGCAACTTTGTTCATTTCCTGATATATCAAGTAATTGTTTTCTTTGTTTGGCAGGGTTTGGAAAAATTCACCAAAAAAGCTCCGGGACTCCCGAAGAAGCTGCAATTTAGACACCCGAAAGTAAGTACTATAGTAGCATGTTCCGCGCATCTCCTATTGATTCAAGCGCTAGTTTCATCAATACCATTTGGCATTCTTGCTTATCAGTTTGATTGACCTCTATTTCTTGTAAAGTGGTTGTGGCAGGAATAAGGGAATGATTTCTGTGGATACTACGTTTGCGAGTCCATCCGTCACACGACCTGTGAGCGGGGCTACTCTGACGAACAATATGAAGTGCGCAAATAACAACATTCACAATTTTATTTTATTATCATCATTTGTGTTGAGATTCATTCATTCATATATATATGTATTGACCCCCTTCTTCAAATTACCCTTCTTCAAATTAGATGTTTCGGAAGCGGAATGAACTCCTAGCACCAGCTCGCATGCGAGCAATTCAAGAGGAATTGGTGGCATTCTTTCTTAACCACGTGATCGCTGAAGACGAAGAATACTATGTGGACCATGAGTCCGTATGTTAGGAGATTATATTTGTAAGAGATAATTATTGTATATATGTAGCCGGTAGTGTCGGATAGATATACGAGAACTTGTTGTTCGACCAATCTTTCGGAGAAGGAGAGGTGGTCGATATCACTTCTCTCTGTATGCATATATGTTCATGATGATCTTCTGTTTCCTTCGTTTGCTTACTAGCTAGCTAGCATGTCTAGTCCTCTCTATACGTATGTATAGTACGTAGCATCGACCAAGCACGAACATAAGAGAGGACACTTCTCTCTATTGATTATAGCTAGTTAACACAATATATAAAACACCTAAATTAACTCCCCAAGCCTCCCCCCCTAAATAAAAACAAAAACTCCAGCCACAGAAATGTTGACGCGTGGATGCCTATTGGTCCCGGTTGATGCCACCAACCGGGACCAAAGGCCCTTCTGCCTGGGCTCCGCGCACAGGCCACGTGGAGGCCCATCTGTCTCGGTTTTGGATTGAACCGGGACTAAAGGTACAGGGCATTAGTACCGACCCTTTAGTCCCGGTTCAGGAACCGGGACAAATCCCGGTTCAGGAACCGGGACAAAAGACCCTTACAAACCGGAACAACAGGCCCTTTTTCTACTAGTGTGAAGAGGATGACGATGATGCACAGGATCGCAGCTGGCTGCTGTGCCATTGTGGATCAAGAGACGTCACATAGGAGCTCCTTGATGCCTGTGCAACAGGGGTGCCCATCGGGCTCGATAGCTCCTATTCAGCGTGTACGTCGCTCGCGAGCGGGAGCGCGCGCACCCCGCTGCTCCCCGTGCGAACAATTGGGCTGACCGTATTTGCAACCGGTTCTTTTTTTTCTTATTTTTTTCTTTCGGTTTTTTCCGTCTTCTTTTTTCTCTTTTTCTTTCTCTTCAAATCCTTTTTTTATCTTTTTAACTTCTTCTTATTCGGTTTTTCAAAATCCGCGAGCATTTTGCTGAAATCTAGGAACATCATGTTTCAAATTAGTAAACACTTTACAAAATCGGTGAACATTTTCTTAAATTCAATTGTTCTTCATCAAATTCAAAAATAATTCATCGTATGTTCAAAAAATTGATGAAACTTTTAAATATGTTAAACATATTCAAAATTAATCATCAAATTCAAATTTTTCGTCAAATTCTAAATTAGTTCATCAACCTAAAAAAATTCATAATATCAAAAAATGTTTATGAAATTTATAAAATTTTCATCATATTAAAAAAATCATCAACTTCCAAAAATGTTCTCAAATTCAAAAAAATGTTCATTGAATTTAAACGTAAACATTTTTTGAATCGGCAAACATTTTTTGAATGAACGGTTTGGTAAAATTCATGAATATTTTTTTAATCCGCCGAACATTTTTTAAACACGAAGCTTTTATGATTTCTGCAAGATTTTTCCAAAATGCAATTTTTAAAAAATATTAAAACTGTTTATAAAATTAGAATTCATTATAAATTTCCAATATTTTCCAAAATTCTGGGCATGTTTGCCAGCGCCTTAGGCGCTAAGTAGGGGCTCCCATTGGGCTTCAGCTCATAAAGCGGATTTAATCCAGATGCACCAAGCTCCCCTTGCTCTAGCAACTATAAGAGCCCAGGTTATCAAGCTCAGATTTTATATACCTAAAGATGCAATGATGGTTGATGAGTGATGACCCATGTACTTCTTCAAAGACAAGTGTTGCTAAGAAGATGTATAAGTTCTTATTTTTATTTTAGAGATCCAAAATCAAATTATATCTTTTTGTACAGCAAAAATCAAACTATATCTTAGTTTTACTGTAGTGATAATTAAATCCATAAAATGATGATACTATCAAAAGGGAATCAGAGATCAGTAGTGATACTTTTTCCTGCTGTGTGCTCATAGATCACACTCGAAATCACCAAAACACTGCAGCCATTTCCCCTACTAACGCTCACGAGCAACATACGCAACACCGCAATTACCAAAGACGAGCTTCCTGAGCACGCGTTCCTCACAGATGGATCGAAATCGTCGTCAGGCTCAGGATCGGTGGTTCTTTGAAGAAAAATGTAAGGATATGGCCCTGTTTGATTCGGCTGTGGATTTCTAAAAACAGCTGTGAAAATCTGATGCGAAAAAGATGTAGGTCATTTGGCAAACTAGCTGATACAGCTTTTTCAGATTTTGGCCCGCAGCGAAATCAGATTTTAAAAAGCACGTCCTGAGCTGCTTCAGCTTTTGGTTCAGATTTTGGCAGCAGATTTTTGAAATCGGATTCTACTGGATTCGCCCTTTGGTTTAGATTCTGCTGCGCGGCAGCGGAATCTGTCGATAAAAGCTGAACCAAACAGAGCCTATATGTGTTGTGTAGCTAACTTCAACAGCTTCCTCCCCCGCAAAAAAAAAAGAACTTCAACAACTTACTGTTTTTTGAATCACTGGCACCTCTAAACAGGGCACATAGCTCTTCATTTCCCTATAAACCGAGCAAACCCGGGTAGAAGCTGGAGTAGAATACATTCGACGAGGCATGTCACTGCTGTTATTTATTCCAAACAATAGTAAACCGTTTCGACAGCGTTCGTTCATCAGTATCCAAAATCCAGTCTGCCCTTACTGACGAAACAGTTAAGCACAACACAACACAATTATAGTACATAGGGCCAACTATCAGCCTATGCAGACAAGAGCCTCCTCGCCAGTCTGTCATGTATGTATGTATTCCTACGATAGTATGCCACTGCTCTAGCGGTCACAGGTTCGTGCACGGCCGGGAACTTACACCGAGCGTAGGGCGATTCTGTCCGCAAGAGATGATCAGATCACTTGATCTGGGAACAGACCGCCCACCCGGCTGGTGTTCAGCAACAAAAACGTCGCTGAATTCATTCCTTCCCAGCGTGCATAAGAAGGCACTGCCTCGGTGAAACCTGCAACGACAAGGGCCTGTAAGTTTCCTCAACGCGCCGCTTGCATGCAATCCACATGCCCTAGCTAGACAGAGATGATCTGAAATGGTCTGTGTTTGAGGGAAAGAGCAGAGGGTTTACCTTTACTGTGTTTGTAACAGTGAAACTTCTATCTCCTGCAAAGTTTTTCCTTTGGTTTCGACTACGTGTCGCCGCACAAATATTGCTCCTACCACACACGCTGATGAGAACATTGTGTACAGAACCTGTGGACCAAGTTGCTCCAGAAGTCGCAAGAATAACAAACTGACGAAGAAGTTGACGCCCTGCCCATTACAATCAAGCATCGTGTGTAAGCAAAAGAGGAAACAATTTATAACTCAAGGAAATTCGACATGGAATAGAACTATAATCAAGGATATCTAGTGCATTCTTGTCTACTGATATTCCAGCTCTTCATTGGAAAAATCTACAGAAGCTGTCTGCATCGATTTAACCGCTGGTTAAATTATACATACAGTAGCAACCATATTTGGGTATAAATTAAAACCATGGTTGCATGATGAGGATTGACTGCATAAACATTTCACGGTTACTTCTGTTTCTCTTCTTAATAGCACGCGAGAGATGCATTAACTCTGCTAGATAGAAAAAGACTTCAGCCTACAACATCTAACACTTCATGACCACAACAAAAGTGCTTTCAATCTTCATAACATGCAGAGGGTCAGTATACCAGTTTGGCACCCTCTTGCAGTCTTGCAACGTAACACTGCTTGGCTACTTGCAAGTTATAAAATCATACGAACAACCTGGCTAACTTATAACTGACAGAAACTAGTCAATTCTTCAATTGCTTACAACAGTATAACTGGATATACGACCATAACCTCTGTCTGTTTTCCCTATTCCATTCAAAGGGTGTGCATGTCTAGACTTTTACCCAAATTTGAGCACTACTGAGCACTAAGGTATTTTTGTTGTTTTCTAGTTTATGCATTTACTCTCAGCTGAACCAAAGCCCATGACAAAGTAGCGTACAAATTTAAAATGCATATTTTTTTTCCATATTGGCAGATTTTGTTTGATCTGATGAAAAACATTTAGCTTGATCCAATGGTTGCTTCATGCTGAAAATAGAACTCTTACCCAGTGCACTGACATACACAGAGCCATAGCTTTGGCCCGAATTTTGTTTGGGAAAATCTCAGGCAAAAGAAGTCCTGGAACTGGGCCTGCTCCCAACGAAAATGCCAAGACAAACCTGCCAACAAAATGTCCAACTATAAGTACCATATGTACCATAGTTATCTTATAATTATAAGAAAGAAAAATATAACTGGCAAAAAAGTTAAGGAGTCCTACCATGAGAACATAGGCAAAAATGCTTCATATGTTGGTTAACTGAATAGAAAGTAACTACCATAGCGGCTCAGCGGTGGCCTAGCCAGATTCCTTGACCTCTACGGGTGCAAATATCGAATGTAGCTATGGGTTTGGGGAGGGCAGGTGGGTAGGGGGGAGATCATAGATCAATCCCCACACCCCTGTCACATGTGCTGCTCACTTGGCAAGTCCTTTAGCCACCTCAGAGCTAACAGGTGACCCTAGCCTTGTCAGAATTTTGTGAACGTGCTAAGCCGGCAATCAAGGTTATGTTTGGCTATCTGAATCGCGGTGGTTTTGCTCAAAACTATCGATGTGGTAGTTGTGAGCAACAGTGACAGTTAAAGTGGTGGTTTGAGGGAACTTATTCAACATAGATGATTTGAAGAACCAAAACTAAGGTTGAGAAACTTGCATGGTAGAACCAAGCTACTAAATGGTATAAATCTGCATGACTTACAGCAGTATCCCACCAACCGAAAGATATACACTTGCAGAACCAAGGTGACGATTCGCTCCAATAGCCTGAAGTCCCATTGAGAAGGCCTATACGTTACACCAGTAAGGAAGTGCAGTCAGTAATGTTCCATATATCTTACAATTACAGTAATTGCTCACCATGAAAAAGAAGCTTCCTACAAGAAGCATTTTCCTGCCTAGTTTGTCCATTAGAAGCATAGCTATAATAGAACCTGGCAGCGAACACAGCAAAATAAGATCAGCAGCTGAATATAGCAGAGCAGTACAAGAACAAACAGCTTTAAAACAGCTTTAATGGGCTTACCTAACAAATTTGCAATCCCCATGCATATATTGGCAAGGCTAGAGGGCACCCCCACACTTCTGAACACAGTTGATGAGAAATAGAACACAGAATTTATGCCCGATAACTGTTGTAAAGCAAAGAGCGTTGTGCCAATAAAAACAACTGTAGCAAAAAAGGGACTTGTAATGAACAAACTTCAAGGAAGAACAGAGATAAGGTCACACTGAAGCAGAAAAATGCGACACAATCGACAGCTTGTACCATTGAAGTGGCGGCCATAAAACAACTCTGAGAACTTCACACTTTCCCCATCATCTCCTCTCTCCGATCGAGAAAGTTCTGCCATAGCAGATTTTACATGAAGAGGGCCTAGAAGCTTCTCAAACTGCATTTCTGCTTCGTTTGTTCTTCCACACTGCATAGAAGAACAGGACTCTTTAAATTGTTTAGAAGACTGCTAAACATGTTACTTCCTAGATGTAAGTTGTGTGTGAGCACGCACGCGTTGGAACTGAAGAAACAAAATAATACACCCTGGACCATAGTCAGAGATGCATACATATCGCAATACAAACAAAATGTGAGGTACCTAGAATTTCATTGATCTGCACCAGGAATATATATGTGTTGTATCTGACCTATATGTGTCAATGGATTCATCTTCCTTCATATTTTCGAGCAGATAAATTATAAATATACCTAATATTACTTAAGTAGCAGTAGGCAATAATTTCCTGAAGGGACAAAAGGCTGTAGGGTGGTGGATAAAGATTGTAGCCAACGGCCCAATGTACAGATTGTTCGATTCAACACATACCCAATTTAGAGAACAACCTTCATAAACTAGTGAAAACTGGAAAGACCTGCACATCTATATTGCAGACAGTTTACCAAAACTTGTGCTGTTTCTAAAAGATAACTCCGAAGTTCGGCGCAGTAAAATGATATCCAAGGTTCTGCTCAGAAAATCAACGCCCTATTTTATGACTAGCAAAGGCACATAACATCAAACTATAGAAGCCCATTCAGAGAGCAGTGGGTATTTCCATGGGTTTGAATCTTTGAATTGATAAATGTGAAGGGTGACATGAGAAAACAAGCAATATCCAGGCGTGTTCAAGAAAAGAAAAAGGAAAAGGCAATATTCCTAAGTAAAGGCACCTTATATAGCCACTGGGGGCTCTCAACACAGAACTCCATAGCAATAGCTTGTAAAACTGCTGGGACAGCTGAAACCCAGAAACACACTCTCCACCTGCCATTGGAAGGATAATGTCAGTAAATATCAGTTTTGTACACATCAATTGTAACACACAAGTAAAGATTGAAGAAGTAGAGCACAAGCTTCTGACCATCTATCAATGTCCTTGACAGGGGTACCGACTAGAAGAGAAAATAAGATTCCCAGACAGGTCGCAATCTGAACAAAGCTGCCATACATGCCCCTCACAGAGGGGGGAGAGACCTAGATTCAAGCAGGTAGGTGATAGTGAGCACCGGCGAAGTATGTTGATATCTGCTGTTAGCAATCGTGCATTGACAAAAATACGAGATGCATACCTCCGTTATATAGAGCGAAGCCACCGGTGGACCCAACCCCATTCCTGCTCCAACCAATAATCTTCCAAATAGCATTCCTTCCAGGCTGTTGGTGAGAGCACTGCAAAATGTTTTTCTCTTCTTCAGTATGGTCTAGCAAAACATAGTTGCACGAATGGTTTGTATACAAATCATATAAAAACAAATCGAGAGCAGCCATGGTTCCTTCCTAGATCAGATTAAGTAGTAATATTTGCAAAACAAAGCATACTAAAAATGATTGTAGACGGCACAGGCTGCTGGTATTTTAGTTCCTGGTCTAATTGTATTTTGCTGGTGCAAGTAAATCCCACATAATGACCAGATCAGCAGTCAGCAGTCAGCAGCCAGCAGTCAATGTGTATATTCATTTAAAACACCCAGCAATCAATTACTAGTATACTTGCAAGTGGCAATTAAACAAAATTAACTAGACTGGAGAGAGACAAGTATTGATTTAACAGGCTTATGGCTTGTGAATGAAATGGTGTCATACTACAAATAGATGGTACCTTAAGGCGGCTCCCACGATCATGGGCAGGGTGCTGAGCTGAAAAGCGCGGCGCCGGCCGATTCCGTCGGCGACTGAGCCGCTGAAGAGGCACCCGACGAACGCTCCCCCCAAGCATATGCTCACCACGAGCCCTGCGTCCACGGAACCACACACGCAAATCTCATGACCGGGCCCCAAAGAAAGCAACCAAGGCCGTGCATACGGAGGGAGGGCTCGTGTGCCGCGTACCTTCGGCCAGCGTGTTGCCGGCGAATCCGAGGTCGGCGGAGATGCTCTCGAGCGGCTCGTTCACCACCCTGCACCAACCACCATGGCATCAGCACGAAACAGACATGCGGGACATGCGTGAGATGAGATCCCTCTAGCAGAAAGACGAGAGGCGTGCGCGTGAGGTGGAGCCCGTGGGGACGGGGGTGACCGGGCACGGGATGATGAGCGAGCGAGCGCAGGCACGCACCCTGTGTGGTAGCCGAAGAGGAAGGAGGTGACGGTGGCGACGCACACGTGCGGCAGCGACCGGCGCCACGACGGGCCCGCCCCTGCTGCCCCTGCTCCTCCTGCTCCGTCGGGCGTCTTCTCTGCTGTCGGATCTAAGACGTCACGGAGATTCGACCGGCGGCAGATTGAAGCGAAATGCGAAGGGGATCGGTGGAGGGAGGGAGGGGCGCACGGACCTGGCGTCTCGAGGTCGGGATCCATGGCGGCGTCGCGGGACGGCACGCGCTTGTACGCCGCGGTGCCGAGCTTCCACCGCATCGCCCCGCAGGAGGAGATTGGGGGATCGGGGGCGAGGGGAAGAAAAGGGAGGGAGAGAGAGAGAAAGGGATCTGGGAGAGGGAGCGCGCGCCTATATTCCTACTGGGGCTGGGCGCGTGTCGCTGGGCTGAGTGGCACGGAGGAGGAGGGAGATTTGACTGCCTTTTGAGTCGCAGCACGGGGACCGACCAGCGCCGAGAAGAAGGACGGAGAAGGTGGTGGTGGTGGTGGTGGTGCCACTGCCTTTTGACGCGTCAAATAATTCATTTCACAACCGAATACCTCAAAACCATACTATTACATGCAACGTAAAACCTAGTCTCGGCGGAGCTCATCCGACTCCACCATGCCCAAATCCCCCGGCCGACTGCGCTCCCTAGAGTGTTGGTCTGGTTGCGGTTGGGCATAAGACACAAGCTGACTTACAGGACTCAAGACGTCGCCGTCTTCTATGCCCTATTCCACCGGTGGGCAAGCAAAGCGCGGTCAGCTGTTTTGTTTTGTTCCTCACGCTCTCTGCCAACTAGTGAAATGCAGGACAGGAGGACCCGACGGCAGACGGAGGGAGAGGCATAGATCAGCAGGTTTGCACGGTGACATGGCTCTTTCAATTTTGGACTTGGGTACAGTTCGGCCTATTTTACATGACACACCGGAAAACTTGAATTACCTATAACTTTACAGCTTTTGTTGAATCTCAACAAAAAAAAAACTTTACAACATGCCTTGTAAAGATACTCTTTTTTACACGAAAGGAACCAAAACTGCCCCGACTTCACCTCTAAGGGCATGAACAAACGAAGCATCACCTAGTAATGTCTCGGCCCATCCAGCTAGGTAGAAAAGAAAACGAGGCATCGGCTTTGTACTTATCGCCCAACGCGCTAAACCGAGCCAACCATTGCCATGCCCCCACACCGGCGTCATCTTCTACCTCCCATGTGAGCACCCAGTTCCATCTCTCACCTCCTTTTCCCCTCTTTCTCCTCTCTTTTTTTTCCTTCTCCCATGAAGTGGCCGCCTCATCTGCAAGCCACTCTAATACACTGCGAGGCTACCATACCAGCTCCATCTGGCATCTGAGCCTAGTTGAACAACGAGGCATCCGGTTTGAAGCATACCATTGGCCATGCCCTAAATGCCGGTAATCATGAGCAAACTCTCACAGTTATTAATGCTGAGGATACCGTTGTCTGGCCTCATGATGAACTTCTTTTTTAAAATGAAGTGATTATGGTGATGAATGATGACGTGAAAGGGTATAGGTATGCTAAGGTCAACTACAACACGACACCGTATTTGGTCCGCCCTGTCCATTTGGATCGAAATGAACAAATATCACGGGCCAACACACAGCCTCAGTCGCAAAAATATGTTTGCCTTGTGTCCACCTAGACCCATTTATATATGACGTAAATTTGAGATTAATTTGTATTCAGACGAACACTAGACTGACGTGCGCATGTCGTCTAGGCCTCAGGCCCACATGTCTGCCGTCCAACCACTTCCCACTGGCCCCATTAAATCCGAACACGTCAATGGGTCCGCATGTCAGCCATCCGGCCGCCCACACCGAGGTTCTTTTTCACGGCTAGTCCGTGCGCGTGGACCGGCCAGTCCACTTCCAAAGCACATCCACACTATTTCCCTGCCCGACAAGCTCTAGCCCGCGTCGCCCATGCTCGCGCCGGCGGCCGTCACCCGCCGGCCAACAATGGGGACGTGGAAGTGGGGATCCCTGACGCGTCGGAAAAGCGCGACCATGAAGCGGGGTCGTCTTCTAGGTTGTCGGGGCCAAGGAGCGCCGCCGGCTTTTCCATCTCGGCGACCTCCGCGGCGCCGGCCCTACATCATTGTGGAGTTCTGGCGAGCTCAAGCAGTCTGGAGGATACGAGTTAGCCAATGTACTGGCATGGCATGCTGATCCTCTTTGGAAACAGTTAACAGAATGTGTTGTCTGAGGAGAAGAATATGTGCAACTTCTGAAAAAAAAAGCAGATTCCATTATCTTCTAAAAATCACCGGCATGAAACAACGACAGGAGATAAAGTTGCCCGCCCAAACAAATTACATGGTCATCACCATTCACCAATCCCAGCCCTGAGTCTCTGACTACTGAATCAACAATATATGCTGCACGGCATGTATGTTGCAGAGCCTGGTCGAGCTTCAGGACAATTGATCCACATGTGCCGATCAAAGCCCCCCGCTTGCTCCAGCAAACAACCATACCAGGAGCTGGCAGGAACGGGCATATGGATTTTTTTACCATCAGACGATGTTAACTGAATTCAGAGAAAGTGTTTTGTATCTGAAAAGTCTTGGACTGAATCGACTGCGTCCCCGAGTTGCGGGTCAGACCGCTGAAGCCACATGGAAGTGGCCAGCTTCATTCGTAGCCACACCTGCCTCTTTTTTCCAAAATGTGATTGGCAGTCTGTTTAACTGAGATGCACCTCGTGAGAGATTCTGCCTTTCTTCTTCAAGGAGCACTGCATTTCGACATGATTACATTTCAAGAACAGGTGAGGTGTTCCACCATATTCGTTCTGTCTTCGGCATACAGAGCATAAGGGATCATCATCAATGCCTCACATTCAAACATTCTTCTGGGTCAATGGACTGTCCCATGCAAGCCTCCAAATAAAATGGTTTACTTTACCTGGACAAGGCAAGCTCCAAATTAACTTCCAGGCTTGATTCTTTGTACCATCCGCATGCATCACTTGAGCTTTCCACAGCTGCACATGTCCTGCATGAGCCAAACACATGACAGTTCTCAACAACATTGCTTATGGAAATATACCAAGATAATGTGGTTCCTATGAGAAGAACATAAAGATAAGGGCTCCGCTGAACAACAGCCTCCCTGTATTCGACTATTAGCTGGAAACAGTTAAAATAAAGGCTATTAGTTCGAACTTATGTGTCACACCTAATCAGCTGATTAGTGTGCCTAGGTGCTGGCTGGCGGGCCCAGCCAGCTGGCCTGCCAAGTGGAGGCGTGGGTGCGTTAAGGGTGGCCGCCTGTGGCCATGTGGAGGCATGCGTGTGTAGATCATTTTCTGTATCCAAACCTTCCTCTACAATCCTAACCCCTTCTCCAAGCTCATCCCCCTTCCTCACCTGCTCCTTCTCATCTACTCTAGATCGCCGATCCCCTCTCCGATCAGGGGCGTTACATTGGTATTCAGAGCCAAAAAAAAATTCCCCCTCGCCGCCGCTGCACCTTCTGAAGCTTGGGAGGTGGATCGGTAACATCCACCGCGCACGGTGCGAGTCCGCTCGCCGGATCTCGCCCAAAATCCGTCGCGGGGTTCGATCCCCTTTCAGGCAGGAGCAACGGCGCCCTCAAAGCCCTCCGTTGCGACGCGGCAAGTCCTGGAAGCCACGGAGGAAGGGAACGCCCACATCGCGAAGATGCTCGACTCCTCCTCACCAAGCTCGACGAGCAAACCGCTCTCCGCGACAAGCAACTCAAGGTGCAGATCGCCTTCAACAACCAGATCTCGGCGGAGCTGCGGGGCCTCTCGCGGCAGCTCGATCTGACGCAGGCAGACATCGATGCGACCCGCAAGACCGTCGACGGCTCGACCTCACCAGCGGGCTCTGTCACCACGCTGGTACCACCACCACCACCACCACCACAGCCACCACCGCCTCCGCGCCATCAGCCCCCCCACGCGGAGCCCCATCGTCCCACCTCTGCTCACGCTCGTCTGGGGGACAACCGACCACCACTCATTCCGGTTCCCCCTCTCGGTGCGCCCATGGCTGGGGTCACCGCGCCGCCGCCCAGCCCCAGCCACCCAGAGAGCTCCTACCACAAACCCCCAAAACACGATTTCCCCCGTTTCAACGGATCCGCACCCTACCTATGGCTGGATCGTTGCTTGGCATACTTTGAGCTCTACAAGGTGGGTCAGCAATTTTGGGTGCCTACCGCTGCTCTGTACATCGAGGGGCAGGCGGCGCATTGGCTCCAGGTGTTTCGCCAGAGTCACCGCAACCTGACATGGGACATGTTCTGCGCCGCCGTGCTCGAAGAGTTTGGTGCGGACGAGTTCGAGCTCACTATGCATCGTCTCCTTCAGCTACGGCAGACGGGCAGCGTCGCCGATTATCGCACGGCGTTTGATGAACTCATGTATCACCTTCTGGCGTTGGATCCCTCCATCAACAACAAGTTCTTCATCACCCAGTTTTTGTTGGGACTGAAGGACGAGCTGCGCGCTGCGGTTCGTCTACAAGCCCCGTCGAGCATCATCCGCGCATCCGTGCTGGCGCGCATTCAGGAGGAAGAGCTGGGCACGACACGTCCACGGGGCCGACCAGTTCCTGTAGGGCGTCCTCCTCCACCAACAAACGCGGCTCAACCGCACCAAGCGGCAGCCCCGCGCGCTGTCGGCGACGAATTCGCTCGGGAGCGCCAGTTGCGGGATTACAGGCGCGCCAACAACCTCTGCTTCAAGTGCGGCGACAAATACTCACGGGAGCACCGCTGCGCGCAGCCGGCACAGTTGCTCACCATACACGTGGGGGAGCATGGGGAGGTTCTCTCCGACGACGCGATCCATGCTCTCCAGCTCTTGGACGAGCCCGCTCCACCAGATCGGCCTGCAGAGTGCTGCGTTCTGTCAGCCCAGGCGCTGGACGGCTCCGACTCGCCGAGCACTATTCGCCTGCGCGCCTTGGTCGGGAACCAAGTCATGCTGCTCCTCCTCGACTCGGGCAGCACCCACAGCTTCGTCAACAAGAGCTTCGTCGACCGCATCGGCGCACAAACCCAACCTCTGCCTCCGGTGGAAGTACGGGTCGCCAACGGCGATCGCCTCACCTGTGATCGCATCGTACCCGACCTGAAGTGGTGGATGCAGGGGCACACCTTCTCGACACCAATGCGCGAGCTCGACATCGATGCTTACGATGGCATCATGGGCATGGACTGGCTGGCGCAGCACAACCCCATGACCTGCCACTGGCAAGACAAGTTCGTCTCA